AAAGCTTTACACTAATAGCTTCCTCTCCTACCATCCCCCCAAAATATGAATGGATACCAAATGCTTTTTGCTTCTCATTCTCTGTAGTTACCACAGCCTGGGCCCACCCGGATTCTTATAAAACAAAAAATGATCTTTGCTCCAAGAAATTGCTCCCTTTGCCTCTCTCGACAAATTGGGATTACCTCTCTAGGTCTACAAGGTAGCCCAAACACCTCTTCAACACTCTGTTGAAAAGTGGGAGAACACATCTCAGAGCCATGTCAAGAAGGTGTATTAGATACCTTCTATAGACACCAGTATCATATAGAAAGACAATGCCATTCTTCTAGGCACATGATCAAAATGGAGGTGGATTAAAATGGATCATTTGCTGACCTGCAACCATGTACAGCTGTGCAAAAATATACTCAAGGGCAAAAGAGGAAATATGCCTCTGACCACAAAAGTGGTACTTCTAGCAATATTCCTCAAATATTAAAATAATGTGTTTAGGCTAACTGGCAAAAATGAAAGAAGAACATGCAAAAATTTGGAGGCAAATCAAAATTCAGTTCCGTGTGATTAGAAATTGAAAGAGAAATTCAAAGCTATCATAGGTTGGCATTAACACCACAGCAGCAAAAGTAGATTTTACTCAAAATCAAAATGCCAGTTCATTCATTCTAATTTTAGTGCTTGATATCCAGACATAGTCTACCTTTCAAAATACCAGTTCTGAAAGTCTTTAAACACTTAAAATCCAATTTAGTCCCATACCAATTATTAAGATACCATACAATGTCTTTCAAATGCCTTTCATAATTAGCTTGTTAATGTTACTGACTTGGGGTACTGTTTCCCAAGTACTTTATGGTTTATAGTGGGTTTTTTAGGCTAAACACACTTTAAGTGGAAAACTTACAGGTTAAGATAATTTTGGAACTTGAAGCATCCGCCAAATATCTTCAAAAAGAAAGAGAAAGAGAAGGAAAAGACAAGAAGGAAGGATGAAAGGAAAGATTTGTGGTAGCAACTGAAGAGAACAAAGACAAAAATTTTGTCCAAACCTAAGATTCTGAAGCTGAATGAAAAATTTCTAGCCAGAACCTAATGATGCATCAGACTTGGGCTATGCTAACTTAAGTACGTATCTTTATTCAGATATGTGAAATAATAAAAACTAGGAGACAACTCAAGATCTTAATAATGAAAAATTGAAAGTATCAGAACTACACGTGAGTGTTGTGGAAGTCAACAATTCTCTACTACCAATAAAAAGTTAAATCTCCCAAATATAACCACCATTATTCCCTGTTTAAAGATTCCAGGTATAGGGAGGATTCAGCTTAGGATATACACAGAATTCCCCAAGACAGTGTGGCTCCTACTCTAAAAGTACAAAATAGCTGTAATATCTTTTGAAGTCATTTTCAAAAAATGAGCTGAGTTGCTAAACCAACCAGGTAAACTGAATTCCAAAGTGTGACAAGCCCTTCTGAAGACAGACATGTACAAAGTACTTAACCTTTGGTAAGACATGAGAGAGAAAAGGGAGCAACCATGTAAGCAAGTAAGAAGAAAACAACTGGAATTGTAATGGATTCTTAAAGATTTCACGTAAAGAGATTATAAGACTTATTTTGGTAATTAAAGAATAATCCTTAGAATCCTTCTTAATAAAATAATTTTTAAAAAAAGAATAGCTAACATTTAGTATGAGTTTACTAGATTCCAAGCATTATGCTAGCACTTAACATACTTTATCAGATTAGACCACACAAACCAGTAAGAAAGGACTATTAGTATCCTTGTTTAATAGAGGAGAAAAAGGTACAGAGAGAGCCAGAAGTTCGTCCACATTCCCACACAGCTGGGATTCAAACCTATTCATCCTAACTATAATTGGGATACTACACAGTCTTTTTTCAAATCCAGACATACTTTCTTAATGCTATTTAAATTGTTTAAATAATTTCTTTTGTTTGGTTTTTACAGTGAACAAATTAGAAACATTCTATTAATTATTCCTTTAGATATATCAAGATAGAATGCTAGAAAAGTCATGTTTAATACAGAATTTAGCAAAGTCTTTTCACCTTCCAGGTAAGACTACTATATTACTTAAGGGTAATATATGACTCTAATTTACGTGGGAAAGGTAGAAAAGCAAACATAGAGCAAATTAGAATAGGGAAAGAACCCTTCTGTTCTTGCTCCAATCTGTCCATCACAGACAGCATTAAACTACAGAGATCTAAAGATCTACTTTAAAAATAATGGAGGGAAAGGATCCTTCTGAAATTTGATTGGCAGGTAGAAACTTCTTGCTATATAATCGTTCTTGGTCTTTTGTTCCCCCAAGCTAAATAACATTAAAAAAATCTAAAGAAATCTTTAAGATTTATTTCATGCTTTGATGGAACTAAGAAAAAAAGCACATCACTCTTCTATTTAAATACAATCGCTTTTGTCATATGTGATTTTCAAAAAGAACGCTAATATACTACTGAATATACACATAGCTTACAGTGAAATGTAGTTTCCAGTCTTTTTTTGCCCCTCCTGTGCCCTCACAATATTGACCATCTTGTCTCTTACAATAAACACTTTCCCAATTTACAAAGTCACTTTGTATTCTACCTCAAGCTTCTAAAGAGTACTAAAAATTACTCACTCTAATGTCATTTGCAGAGATTAAAAAAAAAAATTGTAATTCATCTGTCCTAGGTACTGATCTAGTAATTCTAGTTTTAGAAATTTAGTTACACCTCTCACTCAAATGGGACATGGGTGTGCTGAGCAAGATTAAATAAATAAAATTAACCAGGAAAAAAAAATAATCCATATCAGTAGCAATCACAGTGTAATTCTTGAAGAAACCAGACTGCAATATCTATGTAGCTGATAATCTCATCTCTTCAATAGACACAATTCCTTATATCAAACAGACTCCCATGTACCAATTTAAACTTTTATTTACTATATAAAGAGAACGAACACCTGTGATTAGAATAATGAAGAAAAAAAACTGATTATTTCAGCAAGCTAAAGTATTTTTGTTACCAGGGCAAACTGTTAGTAAAATACCTATTCTAGAATTTGAAGACTGATTTTCAAAGCTGACAGGCTTTCTTTGAAGTTCTATAGAGGGCCTCCTGTCCACCAATTCCGCTATTTCAAGTATTCTAAGAACTAGAAATGTTCCCTGGCTCCTAGGAAACTACTTACTAAATCCTACTACCAGGATATTTCTCATCTTTAAATTTAAAATCATCCCATTAGGCCTTCCTATCTATAAGATCTACTTTGTATCTCAAAACTTTGTTTATGCTCATCACGGCATTTAAAATATTTTTTCCTTGTTTCTTTCTCCTCCATTAGTGTATACACTCCCTCTGTTTTACTTTCTTGAAAGAGACTATAACTTTTTTTAAAGACAAAATTATGTTCTCTAATGAGTTGCAATTTTAAGGAAAAGGATGTAGATTTCAAAGGAAGGCAACTGCTTTCTCCTTAGCCAAAGTAACATAAAGGTAACTTGCATTTAACAGTATTTTCCATAATATCAGTTTAATGAATTGTGAACATTCAGCCTAGTATTTTCACCTAGTTTAAATCAACTTGTTATGAGCATATCCCTTCTTTACACCAATTTCACTTATGTTCAAGAAAAAAACTAAAGATTCGTGAATACCTTAATCAAGAAGTGGTCACTTTTCAGGCTAGGCACCAAGCCTGAAACCAGCACATACCCGGGCAAGAGAGGTTTAATTCCAGCATAAAGCGAATCGGTTTTTTAATGGTATGTCATACTATTTTTTAAGGTATGTCATACTGCATACTGAAGTAATACTCTAATATTTTTGTCTGCTTACTTCTGAACTTCATAAATCCTCTGCATTTTTATGAGGGTTGGAATTTATTTCCCTTCTCTCTTCCACTGTTTTCCAGGGGTCACAGTCATGGTGTAGTGTGCACAATGGATTTCGCATGGTCATCCTACCTTAGAATATGGCACACTCCCTCCTCTAACCGCCTTCAAACTCTTCTTGGCGGAGATAGGCTGAAAGCAGCTCGGTTTTACACGGCGACGCAACCAGACGTGGCCCGTTGAACACGAGCAACCGAATGGCTCCGTTGGTGGCCCCTAGCGTTGCGCTAAAAAGCCCTTTGCAAACATATAGTCACCTTATTTGTTCCCGTGCTGGCATTTCTGAAACTCGTCAAGGCTGCAAGGGGATGCGCAGCTTTCCCACCGCACACAGGAACCACGGTGTTCTCCTGCTCCCCTAAAATTAAACCACCGCCTCTCGTTCGAACTGCGCTTTAGTTTACAAAACGCCTTCACGAGCGTTATCTGACTTGACCCTCACGGCCAAGCGCGTTCTCGAGATAAGCCTCGAAGCCGTAGTGCCTATTTTACTGTTGAGGAAAGGATCCTGTGCACAGACCCAGTGCCAAGGGTCACTCTCCCCCCGATGGAGGAAGCAGCTTCCCGGCGGAAGGGAGAGCAAGTGTGACGCCCGCGGCCCCCAACCTCTCACCTGGCCGGCGGACCTGGCTACCGCCTATCAGTGGCCGGGACGTAGGCCCGCGGTGGCGGCCGCTCGGGGTCTCCGACGTCCTCTCGATCTCCGCCTGCGCTCGGCCTCAGACCCCAGACCCCAAAGTGCCTCAGGCTCTCCCCATCAGGCTCACCGTCCGATCTTGCCAGACAGCACCTGGAAGGACCGGGAAACTCCGCGTCCGCCACAGCCGTCCAAATCCGGGACCTACGGTCCGAGGCGACGGCGGTGACGATCACTGAAAGGCCTGCAGGCTCTGGGGTAAGGAAAACCCGTCCCCAGTCAAGCGGCTGACATTTCCCAGCCAGCCGAGCACCGCCCACTTCCGCTTCCCCGCCTACCCCGTGGGTAGCCCAGCCTCGCAGCCGCGGGGAGTTCTGGGTATCTCGAAGGCGGGTGAAGTAGTAAGGGAGGAAGCATCGGAGAGCCGGCCGGACTACGAGGCACAGCAGAAACTACAGTTCCCAGCAGGCCGCGGGGCCGCAGACGGCAGCGGCGGAGGAGAGCGAGTAGAAGAGCCCTGCGCGCGCGGCGAGGATGGAACGTTGCTAGAGTTCGCGGGTCTTGCTGCTGGGGGTCGGAGCTGCAGGCCGTGAGCCGCCGCGCGCGCCAAAGCGGGAATCCCGGAGGCGGGCAGTTCTGCAGTTAATGTACGCATTTAAAACTCCAGAACCCGTGGACGCCATGCACAGGTAACCCGATTGCAAAAGGGGGCAGAGAGTGAATGAACGGTCTCAGTTTTTTTAGGCCGCGAATATTGCTACTTGCTAATATTGTTACAAATGCTGTAAAGTGAATACTTGCTTAGCTCCTTTGGGAAAGAGTGGATGGCTGGATACTTTAGCGCGGTGATAAGCGTGCGGTTTTATTTGCCTTCCCTTATTGAGCTTTCCTGCTACTGTTTTCCATCGTTGTGCTCTCCCGCTTGTCTGTTCCCTCCACTTTAAGACATTCTTGAGGCCTTCTCCGTGATCGTAAATCAAAAAGCCCTTTTGGTTTTCTGTTATTTTCTCTTTCCTTCTTAGAAACTTGCCGCCGGCATTTAAAAGCAATTCTATGAGACGCTGTGAAAGTTCTCTGCATTGCATAACTTGCAGTTTCATTTAGGCCTATCTTTGAATTATTCACGGGTGTGTTTTTGAAAGAAGCAGGGGCTGTTGTGCATTTCTGCAGGAAACACCTCCAGGAGATTCCCGACCAGAGTAGCAACGTTACCACCAGCTTCACGTGGGGATGGGATTCTAGCAAGACATCTGAACTGCTGTCGGGCATGGGGGTCTCTGCCCTGGAGAAGGAGGAGGTGGACAGTGAGAATATACCCCAGGAACTGCTCTCAAACCTGGCCCACCCTCAGAGCCCTCCCCGAAAACGGCTGAAAAGCAAGGGGAATGACAAGGACTTTGTGATAGTCCGCAGACCTAAGCTAAATCGAGACAACTTTCCAGGTAAGGTATGAGGGTAAAACTGTCGGTCACATAAGAGGCGGATTGAAGTATTTTATTGGTAATCTTTGTTTAGCGATCTTTAGGATGGCACGCTTTTAAAATTGCCTACTTCTGAAGTCGTTTTTCAAAGAAATGGGACAACTGGTCACTGAAATCTACAGGAATCTTGGTAGGTATATATTTTCAGGTGCACAATTGACTTTTAACCCATGTGAAATTTTAACCCAGAAGACATTCCTGCCTCTTTCCTTTGAAGGGAATCTGCATGTACAAAGGCCAGTTCAGTGCCACTGATAAATGGGGACATAAGCAATAATCTTGTAGGATTTTTTTGTTGTTGTTGTTTATATTCTGCTGATCTATAACCTTGATTGAGTTTGTTGCCATAATTGCTTTAGTTATTTGTCAAAGGACTAATAAAGTGAATGTTAAACTGAGTGTAGGGACTTATATCCCCAGGGACCTCCCAAGTGGGATTTTTCTGGTATGCTCTGTCTCCATTACTGGCAGCATTATCTGTTCAGTCAGTCAGTCCCTTCCCACCATCCTCCAGCATCCAACCAATCATTGAATCTTTCCCTTTTGTCTCCTAGGTGTTTTTCAAACTCTCACTATCTCTTGCCTGAATATTGGAATGGACTCATAATTCCAGTCTTATCCTCCACAGATCCACCCCCCAGAGCTAGAGCGGACTGACTGAAATGTAGAACTCACCGTATCATTTCCCTCTTTGATAGCTCCCCATCCCCAGGCTTCTCAAACAGGTCAATGAGTGCCTCCCAGAGTGGAGCAGAACCCCAAGGGTACAAAAAGCCATAGGGTAAACACAGTGCAGTGACTTGGGTTATCAGTTTTTCTTGCCAGTAAGTCATTTAAAACAATCCCGCAAATATTTGCTGAGCACATGCTATGTGGGGGGCATTGTTTTAGGTGTTGGGGATAAGGCAGCAAACAAAACCTAAACATTCCTGCCCTCGTAAAATTTCTGTTGGAGAGAGTAGATGCAATGAACGTAATAAACATTCCTGCCCTGGTAAAATTTCTGTTGGAGAGAGTAGATGCAATGAACATAAACAACTACATAATAAATGTAGTATGTTAGAAGGTGATAAATGTTGTGGCCAAAATCATATATAGAACAAGGCATGAGGGACTGAAGTCCTGGGGTGGGAAGATGGGTTGCAACTTTAAATAGGGTATTGAGGGAAGGCCTCACTTAGACGCGAGCTTTTTAAGCAAAGGCATGAAGGAAGTGTGAGGAATGTGCCATGCAAATATCTTGAAGAAGAGGGCTCCAAGCAGAGGACAAAGTCAGTGCAAAAACCCTAGGGCAGAAGCATGTCATGTTTGTTTAAGGAAGAAGGAAGCCATATGTGGAATGAGCAAAGGGGAGAGTAGTGGGAGATAGGGCTAGAGGTGGTGTTGAACAGACTTGTGATGTGACCTTTTAAAAGGACACACCGAGGGGCGCGTGGGTGGCTCAGATGGTTAAGCATCTGCCTTCGGCTCGGGTCTTGATCCCAGCGTCCTGGGATCGAGCCCCATATCGGGCTCCTGGCTCGGAGGGGAGCCTGCTTCTCCCTCTCCCTATGCTTCTCCCTCTCCCTATGCTTCTCCCTATGCTCATGCTCTCTTTCTATCTCTGTGTCTCAAATGAATAAATAAAATATTAAAAAAAAACAAAAGGACACGCTGATGTGTTGGGATTAAACTGTGGGGGGGGGGTCAGGCCTAGAAGTTTAGAGATTTATTAAGAGGTGTGGGAGTAGTGATAAGTGTGCTCCCATCTGACTTTCTTTGAAGAAGGGTTGGTTGGTTGCTTTGCTTAAAAAAAAAAAAAAATCTGTTGTTTTGGGGTTTTGACTTTCATTAGGAAAGAGAACCTACAGATTATGGTCTAGAAATCTACATCAAGAAGGGGTGAATTAATTAGAAAGGCAATAAGGGTTTGTGAAGTCAGACAGGTCTGACTTTACATCCTAATTCTGCTGTTTACCAACCTTGGGAAGTTATTTGAGCTCTCTGTGCCTTTGTTTCTTTGTGAAATGGAATAATAATACTCACTTCATAGGTTGGTGTGAAGATTAAGTGAAAGAGTGCACATAAAACTTAGCATGCTGCGTGCACGTAACATGTGATAAGTAACCCCAGTTAATTTGGTCAAAATTTCTGACACTCGTTTTGAAGTCACTTCACTTTTTCTTTTGTCCTTAATCCTGTTAGCCGGACCTTGTTAGTGTAGAATTTTTTTTTCTCAAAATTTAATGTTAATGTTATTTTTAGTGTCTCGAGTGCAGCCCTAGCAATTTGGTGCTTGACCAACCAAATGTGGTGAAAGACGCTTTCTGCTAAGATGAGCAGATTTTGATTAATTTGTCCAGTGCCGATTACTTTTAAACGTTGAGCGTGATTCCTGTGTGTCCTTCCACAGTCATACCCAGAGAGAGCTGTATAAATAAAAAGTCATTTTTTAAGCAAGGCACTACAGAAGATGAAGGTATGGTTCCTGGCTTGTAGGAAATTGCTAGTCAAGTTGAGAAGAGATAATACACACTAAGAGGAGCTCACAGCAGAAGATGGCGGCTAAAACACTAGCATCTGATGAGCAGTTCAGGTAGTGAGTGCTCTAGGAGGCCAGAGGAGGGGACCCCTTGTGCCAAATTGAGGCAGGTGCACCTTCCCAGGTACAGAAGGACTTCCAGGTGATTCCCAGTGGACGTGGACAGTCTTCCTCCTCTCAGCACAAGTGGAGGCTCTGCAGAAAGAAAGATCTGGAAATGGTCCAGTCAGTGAGTCTAGATTAAAATTGCCCTCAAATACATATGTCTGAAGTGAGAAGAGGGAAAAAAAAAGTTTTTATGTTTGTTACTACCTAAAAGAGAGGCAGAGAAGGATACTAATTGTATACATCGTATGTGCGTGATATTACACACAACATGGATTGGTTAATTGGTGTGGGGTGTGGGGAAGTAGATTCACTGATGCAGGAGGAGGGACAGCTGGGCTAGAGGATTCCCAGTGGGCCTCCAGGAGCCTGGGCTTCCAGTGTATCTGGATCATCGTTCCAGGGAGTTTGTCTGCAGTTGTCAAGACAGGTGGCTAAGAGCTCTGCCAGGATTAGGGTAGAAGAGGCCACACCTGCTTTATGTAGCGATCTGATGACAGAGGCCCTGGGCTGTGAGTTTTTCCTGGTTCTTCACTCAGCAGTCTCCCTGCAGGCCCCATGCCAGACACACACATCTGTCTGGTGACTAAATCCTTGTCATCGTTTTATTTTGGAAGTTAAAAACTGTGTGGCAAACCCGTATGAGGACAGGTCTTTGTGGCCCTCGGGGTGAGTATATGGAAGGAGTTGGCAGTAAGTGGCCTAGTCGTGAGGTTAATAATAGGCACAAAGAGGACAACTGTATTTTATTTGTTGTGGTCATTAAATGCCTGTCTTGGTCCCTTTTCTCCCCATCCCCCACCCCCCACAAACAAGAGGGCCATGAAAACACTGTCGAACTAATTTGTTGATCAGCTTTTCCATGGCTGTTAAACTACTTGACATTCCCAGACCTTGCAATGGTTCTCAGAGTGGAGACTCTGAAGTTTAATGTCTGCTGATATCCCTGAAGGAACTTGCTCAAAGTGCAAAATTCCTGAGATTCTGATTCAAGAAGTCATGTCTTGAGCCTGGGAATCTGCTTTTTAATGTCCCCAGGCAAACATTTTTCCTCCAATTTTTTTCTTTAAGCCAGTAATAAATGTATTTTACGTTGTAATCCTGGGTGTGTGCCGGAAACAGTAATTTCACAAAACTATATTTCCCCTTACTAAGATAATTTCCTATTCTGTTCCATTCCATTCTTTCCAAACAGTGCTGCTCAAACCAAATTGATTCATGACTCACCAATGAATCTTAGCCCACAGCTCCCAAAGCTCAGCTCGGTAAGAGCCATATTTATGGGGCCCTTGGAGGCATCTTTTCTTTGCCCTATAGCTTCCTTTCATTTATTCATTCAACAAGTATTTATTGCACATTCTAGGGAGTAAGAATACAGCAGTGCCCATAACAGACAAAAGCCTGGCTCTCAGATCTCATGTAGAGCGTGTATATTATACCTTGTTCTCTAAATCGCAATTTCCATGGTTTCTCCACTGCTGTTCCCACATTTCAGGGTTGAGCAAGTCTCTTACGGAAACAGAGGGTTGGACTGAAGGGTCGTTGAGGACCCTGTTTTTGTTTTGCTGTGTTTTGCTTTTTTAAGTTTTGCCCACTTAGCCAAAACAAAAACCAAAAATACCAAGTTCATATGGTCTAGTGTTCTTATGATTTGTGGGCAGAGGAAGGAAAACTCATCCCAGCATGGCAGAACGTTTGCGGTTTCCCAGAAAGGAAGCATAGGTTGTTAATACTTCAAACAAGCTAGCACAAGCAAACATAACGTGAGCCCCCACCCTTAAACAGTAAAAAACCGTAAGTGTGAGCACCAGTGCCCGCTTGTTCTTCAAGTATCATTTGTTGATCCATGTTTAAGGAGAGGAGCAGTTTTAAGAGTTTTGTTTATGATTAAGATTTGGAATTTTAACTTGAATCTGAGTGTAGGTGATAGTCCAGGAAATAAATAAGCCAAGTAAGATGAGTAACCTAGACTTGCGAAGATCTCATGCATAGAAAACTCTTCCCTAAGCTGCTCTCCCCAGAGGATTTGAGGCATGGGCAGCGGTGAGGTGACAGACGTGGACAGCTGGGGTTGCACGTGAGGGAGAAGTGGAAATGACAGTGGCCAAGGATGACGACCAGCAGCTTTGTGAATCTGGCCAGTTTGCGCCCCGTTTGTGGCTCTGAAGTATGTTTAACTGCCTTCATGCAGTTGAAGAGTGGCCACTGTGGGCTTGAATAATTGTTTCCTTTACTGCCCGGGGCTGGTGTGCAGCCTTGGGGGGCTTAGAAGAGGCGAGTGGAGGAAAGACCTGCTCTGGACTCTCGCATCCGCTCGGGCAAACAGACCAGACAG